AAAAAATAAACACCAACAATTAATTAAAAATAAATAAAAAAAAACATGGGCCATATGGGTTGCCATGCTAGTGACGAAATAACAACGAAATATAAACATAAAATCTAAACAAATGGAAGAAATTCCAATCACATGTTTTATTTACAGCGTGGGGTGAAAATAGAGAAGTCTGTGACACATTACAAATTTTTGGTCGAGTTTTCGACCACTAGACGACCAACGGCCTTAACCCTAGTTACAATAGTTTAAACATCCAAAATGTATCCTTCAAGGATTAGGCTTCGAAAATGTTCAATGGATTTTAAAAACATGACTAAGACGGATAAGGCAGCTTAGGCAGATCGCTTCTGCGCTATTTGAGAAACGATTTGATTGATCGCCCAATATGTATTACAATAGCTTACAAAGTCTACATATTATACAGTATATCATGATAATCTAATCCAAATCTTTACCAAATATTTCTAAATCTTTCTACGATATTTTTCTCTAGCTAATGTTATAGATGTATACTTACATATACGCATATTTATAAAAAAATATTAATTCTTTTGGTAGAGGTTAAATAAAATAAGGTATTTAAGAATACATTTCAAGTAAGGTATGGAATGCATGTTATTTACAAAGGGTTTAGTGTTTACAAGAAGTAAACACAAGTAAAGCTTCATGATAGCACATCTACACGTGGGATCCTTCTTCTTCTCTTCACCGTAATTACTTTGCATCGCAAGATTCATGATATTATCTTACACACTTATCCTACAAATTTTTAAGTTGCACAGGATTTATTAATACGTCATTGTATTTTATAAAACTTTCAAATTCTTTTTGGGTTGTTAATCAAAATCATGTTAGTGAAATAAAATAGAACAGATATATCCTTGCTACATTTACCAACTAATTGGGACAAGAGTAAGTAAGTGCAATTAATTTAGACATAAAACAATGTACGTTCTTCTAAATACATCCGTATAAAAACAAATGCCAACTCGCATCAGTCCGTTTCTAATACCCTAACACGACGAGACACGCTCAGCATGGGGCTAATTGGAAATAAAACAACAGAGGGATAATTTGGTTTCTTAATTGGTGCATGTCAATTCACTACATGTCAATTCGCTGTGGTGTGGGAACCAATCACATAACTATTTACCTGAAACGAATTTATCTTTAATCGAGGTACGTATTGTTAATGTTAAACGAATATTTCTACTACTTTGATTCCCTAAGTTCAAAAACAGAATTTTTATAAAACTTTAATGTCGAGGCCCTCTCTGAAAATGAGGGTAGATGAAAGGCGTACAGACATTTCCAAGCAAAGTGGCAAGCTTGTGGCTGAAAGGGGTTTGAATGTAAGACTTACCTTAAGTGCCTCATATAACGAGCATAAGAAAGGCTTCATAAGATTTGAACGACATATAATTTACCAACGACACATTTTTCAAAGCTGTTATAACAAATATGTGACATTCGACTTTACTAAGTTAAATGAGTATTTATGTTTTTAGTGACAAATTGCTTAGGTGTGGAGTATTAAGGAAGTGTGTTTTAGTAATTAGGAAGTTACCCTCGCCTATTGATAATATTTACAGTAACATTTTAAATGTAACTTACCCTACATGTTCTGTTTATCAAAGATGGCAAACAATTCATTTTTATAGAAATAATTTTTTAAATATCGAAAAAGGTCATTCAAAATGTGCAGCATAATTTATATACTTCCTAGACTATGTTTAATGTTTTAAGAGTGTCTTGTCTAGTCTTGAGATTAACACACGAAAATCTCCTGAAGGCCCGGGATTGAACTCCTCGGATGGCCAAAGACAATTTACAATGGTCCTGCTATCAAGGTCAAGGCCGGTTATTTAGTGTCTTTAGTCTCATTACTAAAGATTTCTCCCCATGATAAGCTCTATGATAATAACAATATTTGATACTTGCTAAGCAATAGTTATGATCTTTTTTGAAGACGAAGAATAGTATATTTCATTACTAGGGCCTAAAGTGACTCTTTTCAACCCAAATTCAAGTTTTGTGATCGAGGCAAAGCCGAGGTTGGAAAACGAATGAGGGTTGAAAAGTCACATTTCCCCGTGTGATGAACTATACTTTTTGTCATATTGACCCCATTATTTTGAACAAACTATGTTACAAAACTAAAATAGTTTTCATAAAAGATGTCTTATCAAAACTACTTCTAACATGTTTTCAATTAAAATTTATAATGGAAACAATAAGCTGTTTAGTAAATGATTCAATCGTTTCTTCTATTACGATTATGTTAGTGTAAATAATACTATCAATATGCCTAACTATTTTACAATAAGGTAACAATGAACAATTGAACAATCAATTAAACAATCGATACATATTTTCGATACATGAGATTATTTAAAGCCGAAATTTAAAACTGTTTTGACAACAGCTGATTTTTACTCCCTAGTGGCTAAAAACGCGTTTTACTCCCTAGAGAGCAAACATGCTACTTTAGACCCGCAACGCATTAAAAACTGCAGTTTTGCTACAGTAGGATGAAGAATCTTTGATCTTGATGTTAAATAATTTCAAAGCTGAATATTACAGAAAATACAGTAAATACTGTTAGTGTTATTATGGATTTGTTAAACCTAACATTTATACTAAGTTAACTGGAAACTGCCCAGTTTCTATAATAGATGGGTTAAAACCAACGAACTATGATACGTACTACGAACTATAAGTAGTATAGTTCGTTGGTTAAAACTCATGATGAAAAGCTCAGAGAGCCTAATCAACCGTTCACCGTTTGATAAAAGGTACCTTCCTTTGACCAGTGACATTTAATGAACTACTGAGTCAAAAGCTCTTGTGAACATATAGTATACCTGGTAAATACTTCTGGGTCTATCTGCAAAATGAGATATCAAATAGGTACGTACAAATTAACAACAATAGAATAGAGACTATTAGAAATTGCACCAGAACATTGCTCGTATAACTGTTGTAAGTTTTTTACCAGTACCTTTAGTTGGAGCTAAACATATATTTTTTCGCTTTTGGCTTTTTTGAATGCGGAGGAAACGTTTAAGAAGTTGTTAACTTTTCTTACTCGAATCATATTTTTTATAGTCAGTATGGAAACATATTATTTACAATACCAAGAACGCTTCTTCTGAAGTAATTTTATTCCCAACAATACTGCAGGCAGCTCCTCGTGCTTCCCGCTTATGTCATAACAAAATTTTCTATCTTTTATCCAATATTCTTATAGGAAAGTTTCTTTCCCGTATTTAAATGTGCAGTTTTTATGAATAATCGGTGTTTTTAAAATTATAAAACAACTCTTCAATTCGTAGGCCAACTTAGCAATTAATCAATAAAATGATACATCAAGATAATTGTATTTATTGTTACCGAGATGAGTGAGTGTATTTATGACTTAGTTGATATAGCTTAACGATGTCTTATTAGCGAATTTCCCTATAGGGAAGTAGCTATTACCGTAGGTCTCATGGTAAGACCTAGGCCCGAGATTTACTTTTTCATTTTGATGTCCCCAGAGGCCAAAAACACCATTCATTCAAATTGGTATATATATATATATATATATATATATATATATATGTGTGTGTGTGTGTGTGTGTGTGTCCATCCGCACGATAACTTGAGTAATATTTGTCCGATTTTGATAAAATTTGGTTTGAAGGTGTAAGGTGGGATAAAATTGAATGAGTTCGTGAACCAGCATGATCGGACTATGGGAACGGGGGTTTATGGGGAGTTTTATGGGGTAAAAATAAGTTTTCCCATTTTTGACCCTAAAAACACAAAATTTCACAATTTATTTTAAAACCATTTTGTAGAGCTTAAAAAAACAAATAATTTAGTATATTGAAGCGTTACTATGCGCCTAACTGTTACGGAGAAAATTAAAAAAAATTGTAATTTTAAAATTCCTATGTTATTGTTATGGAGAATAAGTCAACTGTTGTAGTTTGCTTGTTTATGAACATATTTTGATCAAATTTTGAAAATACATTAATTTCTTACTAAACCACAGTACCTTTTAACATTTTACATAAAAAAAACTTTTTTACCCTCCATGTTGCAGCAAACCTAAGTACTCATTAAACTAACAGTTTGAATAGGGAATAAATGTGATATTTGTAAGGCGACATTTTAGTTTAAATCTAATCAGATAAATGGAAATTAGCTTAGTCTGCAGGTTTGCTGCGGGGGGGTATTTTTCTTCCTCTGTTAGTACCATTAGTATAATTAGTACCAGGGGACCGAGCATTGCTCGTGGTGTTTATGTTGTAGAAGACGATAAAGAATAGACATAGGCCTGCATATGTAAAATTTCAATAATATATTAAAATGCAGTCTAAAATATGTAATAAAACAAACTATATTATAACATTTTATCATGGTCACGTATTGGTGCTATTTGCACAACATTTTGTGCACGACCATGTCGTCCAAAGTCATTGAAAACCATTGTAGGCCTAAATAAACTAGTATTTACTGACACAGTAAAAATTCACAAAATAAAAATTCTGCATTGAAAAATAGTATCATTACAGAATTGTCATTTTTTTTAGCTGGGAAATTTTATGAGACGTACTAGGTAGACGAACACATTTTCACCACTAACCTGAGTAAATAAATATAGTTATTTTAAAAGTGTAGTGTTGTATAGCGGTGTAGTTGAGTGTTGTTTCTACAAGTGAATGACATTTAAATGTGATGTGTTGAACGGATAGATTTTAACGGATGGTGTTTTATGCCGCTAAGGACCATAAACGAAAAGTAAATCGGTTCCGGGTCCAGGTCTTACCATGAGACCTAATATATCTTATTATTGTTATATCTTATTTCCAATATGAGAAATTCATTAAAAGTAATAAATGTCATGTGATCTAGCAATTCTACTGCTATAATGTATTTTATATTTTACAAGTGGTCTACTTGTGAACAATGCCACCTCTATAATTATATGTATTTATCGAGCTACACACCATCTGTGCAGCAATAATTGTAACAGTCAGTGGATCCCTAGGCTAGTATCAGAACTATGAACATGTTTATCTTCTATTTAACATTTCTGGTAAGTTATGTGATAGAATATTTATTTAAATCTTAATAGTTACAGGATGCGTTATACTGTAAAAACATGAACAATTAATTCTAATACCATAGTAATACATTAATTTATACATCATTGCCTAAAAAACTGAATCTCAGTCAAAATCCTTACCTCAGAACTATGAAAGCCAAAGGGGAAAAGCCCACAGTCAGTCACCAAGCATGAGTTGTCCTAAATGGATCCTTGGTATCTAGCTATATTTATGTCAACTTTCAGCTCAGTAGTTTGAGTAAGTGATAAAAAACACACAAAGACGGACACCATTAGATTTTTGTATAATAGACGAATATACACGTATTGTATAGGCAAACATGCTCTAAGACATAATATGACTGCAAATTTGTCTAATACGGACAATACTGTACTATTGTTAAACGTTTCTTTTATTTATATCCAGGGTATCCCACGAAGAGACTATTTTTGAATAACTTCCTTTGACTTTGGTAGACAATCATTTCTGAGTTACTTTAATCTTTTAAGGTGATGTAGCCTACTATATGAACAAATAACATTTTTTTACACTAAATTTTATTCCAACTGCAAATCACTGGTACATCAGCGTTAGATATTTTTTTAGATGATACTGCTTCAAGTCGTTCAGGGATCTAAGTCCTGCTGGTGGCCCTTTTCAAAACAGCGGTCTGGAAAATCCGAACCACAACTTGAAAACGACGAACCACAACTTGAAAACAAAGAACCACAACTTGAAAACAACGAACCAAAACCTCGTGAGCTTTAAGTATCTATTTTATTCTTACAGAATTAATTTGGAAGGAGTTATTGTGATAAGGCAAATTTTTTTGTAAGCAATAAAAACGAGACAAAAGTTGTCCATTACTTTGACCATAAAACACAACACTGTTTGGCTTAATTTTCTCGCCATAGACATTTTATATCATAACTATTACAATTTTATCAGCCTAAATGTAATTCGCTATCGTAGTTTACATATGTAACCAATTAATTAAAAGCTTGTATCCCTCAAGTATGTGCATGTAGCATATTTATAAATGTGAATGTGTTCTAGCCAACATACATACTGTGACGAGCGACACATACCTCTCAAATAAGTTGAAAGAAGCCAAACAAAGCCAACAGCTGGTCGTGATAGATTTTTTCATGACACGGTGTTGGCCTTGCAAATTTATCGAACCCTTTTTTACTGGATATGCAAGACGTTTTCCGGACGTTATCTTTCTTAAGGTGGACACAGACGAACAGATCAAGATTGCAAAAACTTACAATGTAAAGCGGGTGCCGACTTTTAAGTTCATCAAGGAAGGAGCAAGCGAGAGTGAACGCATAGAGGAGACGATGACAGGAATAAACAAACTAAACTTTGGGAAGACATTTGACAAACTGAGTGAAGGTAACACTATTAATCAAATCAAATTATCCTTTATTCATTTTGTACACAATATAGGCCTACACGAATAGTTTAAATACAATAGTCGTTGTACAATAGTCTGTACAAGAGTCAGCGGAAAAAATCATTTACCTTATAACAGCATTTATTGCATAAAAATTGAATAACTGCAATTTAAACGAATTGAGGGAAGTTACAGATTTAATCGAATCAGGCAGGTTATTATAAAACTTAATACCAGAATAGTGGGGAGAATATGCGAAAGTTGAAGATTTGTGTTTAGGGTATAAAAGACAGCTTTTTTGTCGGGTATTACAATTATGATTGTCTGAATTAACACAAAATTTAGAAATATTTTGTTTCATAAATATATACGCACACGCATATATTCCTATTATTTTCTATCATCGCATATTATTGAATTATTACTGGGAAAGGTATGAATATTGTTGCTTTTAAATGTATTTTCACAAGAATCCCTAACTTTGATACAGTAAATTGTTCTAATGATTATTTTTTGCAATTAAAAACTTGTTTCTTTTTGACGGAATTTCCCCAAATAATTATTCCGTAGTTAAGGATAGGATAAACATATCCATTGTATACCATCATAAGATTGGAAACATCAACTGATCTGGAAAGGATGAGAGTTACGAAATATGCTTTATTTAACTTTATTTAAACTGTATTTAATTTCCGTTGTGAAGCTAGGTACGTCAGCTAGTTAACTATTTCAAGAGACTGTTCCTACTTGTTGGAGCTCCCAAACCAGGACTAGGAAACACTGAGGAACCTCCTTATGAGCTTTAAGTATTACGAGTAATTCGTTCTACAACTCAAAACGGTATATTATAATGGTATAAATAGTATATTACCATTAAAAAATAATGATTCAATATTAGCAATATTAGTCGTTGGACTATTTTGACCTCCGTATGTAAAACCTATTGTCATAACATAATATTCCATGCCAGATATATCGATCATGCCTTCCTCATCTTGAATGATAATGCCAGACAAGCTTAATTACTCGTCAAACATTTCAACACAACACACATTAGTATACAAATGGACCTCAAAAGCAGCAATTTGATGAACTTGATTGATGTAGCTGCTACGAAAAACAATAATGCAACCACATAAATTTTAATTTACAGAAAACTCACCCTAACCGATCTCGTGATCCCTGCTGATTCCAACAACTCCTAAGAACCGAAAAGTGGCAGCTTTCAGGTCTCTATTGTACAAACTAAAACCACAATCTATCCCACAGTCTCGGCAAAGTAGAATACCGACGAAAAACATATAATATAAACGATAACCACAAACGATTAAAACACCCCACATTATGGAAGAAATAAAAAAAATGTATTTAGTTATTGAGGAAATAAAAACTAGTACTTCAGATGATCTCACAGGCAACACAATTCAGTAGAACCTACACTATATATATATATATCTATCTTCTAATATATAAAATTCTCGTGTCACAGTGTTTGTCTGCAAACTCCTCCGGAACGACTTCACCGATCGTTATGAAATTTGGTGTGTAAATTCTGTAGGTATGCGAATCGGACGTAAACTATTTCCCGTTTCGAAATTCTTAAAAGGGCTCCGCCCCAGTGGCTCTGGAGTTTCCCATGTTAACCTTATGAGAAATGGAATTATTGAATCTTAACAGCTGTTTCAATTAAACAAGTTGGTTCTGTTCTATGATGTTCAATAGCATTAAAGTTACAAGGATTACCAACAGGGTGCAGCACTATTATTTCTTTTACATTTATGACAACAGCTAATTTGCAACCAAAAGGTGAGTGAGCGTAGCGAACGAACTTCAACCTGGAGGCGAGTTAGCGTAGCGAACGAGCTAACCTGAAGGCAAGTGAGCGCAGCGAACGAGCTCCAACCTAAAGGTGAGTGAGCGTAGCGAACGAGCTCCAACCCAAAGGTGAGTGAGCGTAGCGAACGAACTTCAACCTGGAGGCGAGTTAGCGTATCGAACGAGCTAACCTGAAGGCAAGTGAGCGCAGCGAACGAGCTCCAACCTAAAGGTGAGTGAGCGTAGCGAACGAGCTCCAACCCAAAGGTGAGTGAGCGTAGCAAACGAACTTCAACCAGGACGTGATTGAGCGATGCGAACGAGATCATCTTGAAAATTAAACGTAACGGTACTTTCTTTCCATCGGTCTGTCTTAGGGGAAACCTATAACTTAGGCAATACGAAGTTCGCCGGGTCAGCTAGTATATATATATATATATATATATACCAATTCACTACATCAAACCACAGAACAAATAAATATCTAAAAAAGGTTATATACCAGCATTTAAAAGTGAAAACAAAACAATTTCCAAATTACAAAATAACGGACACTACGATAAAAACAAATTAAACATGGAATGAGAGTGTAAAAATAACGTGTGTGACGTATTGCCACAAAGACATCGGTTACACTAACAGATCATTTCCAAACAAATATTTAGAGAACATAATACCAGCCAACATACCAATCCTGATTCATTAGTTGCCAAACCCTTTGGAAGAAACCAAATCCACCAAATGTAGGCCTAATTTGCTGATTCATTAACAATTTCTCTAACGCATACATTTCTAAATATTTAGTTAACGTGCTTGGTGTATCATAATTGAAAACCAGATACAATGCTAAACAAAAATGTTGCCCATGTTGCATTAATTTTTAACCAAGCCCAAGACACTCTTTGAATGACTTTTTTGGCGTATACTATGTCTTTTGTAGGTAATTATTACCGTTTAATCAGCCTACCTATAATTTTCTATCGTTGCGTGGTTCGTATATCAGTAACCGAAAACATTTAGCAAAACACATAGCATGAAAAATAAAACATTAAAAAGTTAAAAGGTTTGTATCCTTCACGTATAAGCTAATTCTAATCATAAATTTTAATATGTTCTAGCTAGCATACATGTTGTGATGAGCGATGCATACTTCGATGATCAGTTGAATGAAGCTAATCAGAAGAAACAACTGGTCGTGATAAGTTTCTTAGCGAAACAGTGTGAACATTGCAGGGCTATAGCACCCTTTATTGAAGAATATGCAAAAAAGTGTAACGAAGCTATCTTTCTTGAGGTGGATGTAGACGAACAGAAAAATATTGCGGCTAGGTACCAAGTAAACGAGGTGCCAACTTTTAAGTTCATCAAAAACGGCAAAGAGGAGACGGTGATTGGAGCAAACAAAGAAGACTTGAAGATAAAATTTGATACATAAAACCAGCAATAAACTGTTTTGATAATTTTTTGAAATAAATTAATGGATGGATAAAATGGCGTGTTGTTGGATCGTGTAATAAAATTATGAGGCTGATATTTTTTAAAATGTTGGTAAATCTTAAAGAATTATCTTAATTATCTTATGCTTATGATTTTTAAGATGGTTAGGTCCATTACAAAAAATGGGACCCATTCAGACCTATTTCATGTATAAAGCGAGTGTTAATAATTTGTTAAGAGTGTTAAGTTCCTTAAGATCCAAAAGAGAGTTCAGTTGTCTCCCTTATTACTGGTTTATTTAGTGATGGATTGTATCCGTAAGCCTATGTATCATTCTATTTTATATTTATAAGTATGTATGCAGGTTAAGTGTAAGAAAGGGCCATGTGGCCCTAATTTGCCTGTTGAAATAAAGGATTTCATTTAATTTCATTTTCATTTCATCTATGATTGGCGTTACTTCAGTCAAGCTAGCTTAACTCGACTACATTAAAACAGTTTCTAAACAAACACATGTCTTTTTCTTAATAGTCAATCTATATCGAAGTAAAAAATGCAACTCGATGATTCCTTATAAATGAAAGGAAGTTTCTAATTGCGTGGGGATTCACCCATGTCACACCTGCAATTGCAAACTTTTGAGACCAATTGCAGTTTTTGCATCATAGTTTACAGATCAAATTCTCTCGCATGGAAAAATACGTACTTTTGCTTGTTGATAGCTATTAAAATTGCTTAATGGTGTACTGTGATGATGAAGCAAGTTTATTAGGGCTGTTGGGGACCGTTATCGTAAAGTAGGCCTAAAACGAATTTATCAGTTAAAATATGATGTTACGCCTTAAACGTGTTTCTATAAACAGTAAAGGTTCACAACCGTAGTAGGCATATGCAAACAATATTGTTTTTGTAAGTAAAAAAACAATTATAAAAAAGTATCAAAACCCAAAGTAATTGTTATTCCCATTAACACTGCAGGACTTCTTCTGCTTCTGCCTTAAACGAGCATTTAAGTTTTTCATCTAATGTTTCGAGAGAAACATTTGTTGCTTTATAGAAATGATAATATTTTGGTAAACCAGGGTTCCTTCTATTTATGAAATTCGAAATTAATTATATTACTATAAAATATTTTTACACGATTTTAAATGTTATCTGTTTGTTTCCGAGATAGTTTTACATATTTTTATTGCATTGTTTTAGTAATATTTTTAATTTGTGGTGTTAGCCTCTGGATTAGCCTACCTTAAACATATGAATTGGGGGGAATTGGATGTGTTTCTAGCCTACTGGTTAACATTTTGGACGTCACTGCGGGAAGGGTGGGTTCAATTCACGACACATCCACAAACAATTTAATGGACTTGGACCGCTTTCCCTTAAAAGCGTTTAATCCAAATAAAACTTAAATTAAAATGGCACTGGTGTAGAAAAAAAAAACCTGCTTCCTTGTAATCCTAAATGTTGATAGTGTCCCAAGTAGTTTAAAATCTCTACGATGTCTTCACGTCAAGGATGTTAAAAAGTATGAAGATACACAAACACGAACACAGACGAAACGGTAAAATGGTACATTCAAAACGGTTAAAAAAGAAAAAAAAACCGGTATAGGGAATGATGCGTCACGACCGGTTGAAACTTGAGCTAGGATTGAAAAGAGCAACTTTACGTCTTAGTGATGAAATATACTATTATATTACTTTTCCAAACTATTTCATGTGATCTGTTTCCAAAACCTTTGTCTAATAATTTTGGTAACTTGTTTTATGTATTACATTTAAAGTATTCTTAACAATTCATAACAATAAAAGACGTTTGCACAATATACCATAAATCCTACCTTTCAATCAAACATATCTGCAGTAACACGAAACAATAACAATTAAAACAGAAATAACAATTCAGTAAGGACGCATTCCAAACTATAATAAACTGAGTTGTGTGGCTGTTGGTATTGTTTCCCGAAATGTTTATGTTACTTCCGGTTAGGTCGCCAGTGATGTGGTTGGCAGCACTGCAGAACCTAATGTAATTTATCGCAAAAGATTCAGCTATAAAATGTTGTTTAAAAAAACATTTGACTAAAAACAACTCTCAAATTATGCTATAAACAAAGTTGGTTTGAAAAAAAGGGTCTAAAACAATTTAAAATCTTATTATGATTGCTTGGTTAGTAACTTATCAAATACGTCTTATAGTTTATATTTGGTTTTTATCAAAGATTTTATACTCTATTTTGAAATACTTTTTTGGTTAATTATATTAACAAATAATACAATACAGAAATTACTAATCTTGGACATATATTTAGCACGTTTTAGTTAAGATTACTATATAAAAATTATATACTATCTACAAAAGCAAGTAACAATTCTGTACAACGTTTACGTTACAACTGCTACTATAAATTTAATTCAAAACTCGATTTTTCCTCCCTCAAAATTGTAAAATTTAATTAAATATATGGTAGGATGAAAACAGTAAGTCGAAATGACAGGAACTCTATATTACTTATTAATTTTATAATATATTTTATATAAATTCAAATTTATTTAAAAAATTGAAATCTTACTACACATTGTAGTCTGCTGTAGAACAAAGAATAATATTACATTAAATTTTGCAAGTTTGATTAAACCTAATTATGATAGTTGTTATATAGGTGGTTTCTTATAATATTAATAGAAAATTTTATGGCTGTTAAAGATATTAAATATAGCACTTGATTTTCCAACTTGAATTTCTTCCAAAATTTCTCAACTTGTTGAGGAATTGTTCCTCTTGATCCAATGAGTAGTCCATATACTTCGAATTTTGATATTTTATATTTCTCTGAATAATATGGGATAGTTTTCTTGTAAATATTTACTTTTTCTTCATGGACTTCCTGTGGCTGATTTTCATTTGTCTCAAGACGAACTGTTGGGTCTATAATGAGACCGAAATCTTTCTCCTTGTCTATAACAATGATGTCACTCCGCCTCACAGAGCCCTCTTCTTCTATAGCCGTGACCTCTTCATAGACCTCGTAACTTTTCTTTCTGAATTGATCAGCTATGATTTTTCTGATGGTATGGTGGCGGGTATTTCGTAGAAGACTACTAAATGGGCACTTTCCAAGGACGTGGGCAAGAGTTTCAAGAGTATATTTCTCAGATACAGGACAATGCCTGCACTGGTTCCCGTCCCTGGATCTCCCATGAAGACTTCTAAGAGGAATAACGTCTCCGACCATTTTCAAGTATTGTTTGAACTCAGCTTCTGTGAGGCCACAACCTCTAGCCAAATTTTTATTGATCTTGTTACATTCTTTGAAAAGAACCACCCCATTCCCTTTGTATGGAAGTTTACACGATTCAAATTTTTTTTGAAGGATTTTAAGCTTTGCAGAGCAAATTAATTACGGCAAAGAGAATAAGAAGGATCCCAGGTTTAGTTGTGTGATCTTCAAGCATTACTTGTGTTTACTTCTTGTAAACGCTCAACCATAGAAGTAATATAATTATATTATATTACTTCATCTATGGCTCAACTCTCTCCACAGAAATAACATGCATTCCAGCAACCAACGTGTAAGTTGTTGGTTACTTTATTGTAAAACTAGCCGCCATACCTGCGCTTTGCACCAGGAAGAGAACGTTAAGAGAATAGTTATGTGCTATAGTTCTGCATGGCATTTTTATTAATACATTGATGTCTAAATTATAATAAAACACAAAAAATACCTACGTCCATTAGGCCTGTGGTATAATGGTTCTATTTACGGAAACATCTGTTCAATTGATCAAGTAGTTATTACGTGATTGGCCATGTGATATACTCCAAATTTTCATTTTTATAATATTAGTCCCTTCAAACCGAGTCAATAATAACACGCTACTCCGTTTCCTAACATTTTGGGGGAAAGCAAACGTACAAAAACAATGGATTTAAAAAAAAAAAATTGAAGAAAAAGAATTCAGTAAGTTGATAACTAATGCACTTGAAAAATAAATACGCCCTATCAAAAAAAAAAAAAAAAAAAAAAAAAACATTGCAAATCAGTCAACATAAAATTTAAAACATAAAAATAAATTAATGAAAAAAAGGAAATTTGTTAAGGAAAAAACGTCTTAGACAAATTGTAGACCTATGTGGAAAGATTCGGATAGCATTATCAGTACATAGGCTTACTGAGAGATATGTAGAATTCGTAAAGTGTTGTAAGGTGTAACATATTGGGCGATAAATCAAATTTTCTCGAATATGACTTTAGTCTGTAAATTGACGTGGAAAAGTCATGATAAACAATAACGATAACAAGATTATTTCTGTCCCCACCATTAGATGTTGATTCCGACTCACACAAAACTTGTTGTATTTAAAGTACTTACGTTTTTTGTATCCTAAGGCAAAAGGATTATCATACACATCAGGATCTTTCGAATCTTTTGAAATCAGCTACTTTTAAGTTAAAATCATGTCTAAATGTGAAGAAACAATGTTTAATATTCAAATCACGCTTACTACTTCACTTCCATGGAGAAAAATATGTTTATCTTTAAAGCTTAAAATTATTCATAAACTAAAAACGTGTTTGCTTACTGGAATCCCCTCCAACTGTATTTAACTAGTAATACATTATTTTCCTATATTAAAGACTAAAAATAAAATAAATATTTTATGCGTGGTTAGTGTTGCTGTTATCTAAATTCATTAAAAAAACTTCAACACGATTCTTAATTTTATTTATGATCTTTTTCTTGAAGTCATATCTTTCTTTGTTTATCTAATGATTGTGGATATGATGAGTTCAATGGGAGATTTCATTATTGGGATGAGTTGGAAAGGGATGGTTGGGGATTGAAATGCAACTGACATCTGTCAAACTCAGATCATTGAAGTGCTATTGACGGACAACAGCTGAGTAGAAGGTCGGACATGCTCTATCAAGATGATTTTAAAAGGATTGCAATAACACAATTTTACTAGGTGTTTCATACACCTTTAATCTTATTTGATCTTATTGATAAAAAATAAAACAAATATTCTTCTTGGAAACATTGCGCATATGCCATAACACGATGCATTAATATACATGTTATTATCGATGTATGTAGGATGTATAAAGGATTCTGTAAACTGCATTTGATAAATTATACATAATATGTTAGTTTTCTAAATTAATAAACCATCAAACTACCATTGTAGATGGCTATAGTAAAAAACTTGCATTGTGGTAATTTTAAATCTCAAATTATCAACGTTAATTAGCATTGAATTTCTCAGTTAACTCCTTAATGCCATCATAACAGTTGACTCATACGATTTTTACTTTTACATATTCATATCTAAAAGTAACTATGGAAGTATCTAAGTAGTTTTAA